CAACCAGTCATTCAGCTTTTGCTAGCACTTTTTCCTTTGGATATAATAAAATATATAACAGAGAGGCACTTGCACAAATAAATTCGTGTATAAAACTGCACTAAAGTGGAAAATATTAATGGCGAGCTGCTGGTAGTGCTGATGCTGATGCTGCTGATGAAGAGAGCGAGAGAAAGCGAGAGGAGTCTGCTGTTGTTGGCGTCTTGGCGCCACTATTTATAGTTGTAGAGTTGTTCAACACAAAGACCCCGACGACGACGACGTCGAACTTGTAGTAGAATTAGTAGTAGTGCCCAAATGGCTCATTGATTGATCACCAAGAGCAGGCCACCGAGAGCTGGGTCGATCAACTGGCACTCAAATGGCCATCAGCATCATCATCGTCCTCATTGATTGTCCCAGACGGCGGCGGTGGCCACAAAGCCACTGCTCTTTATTTGTATGTGGAGAGGGAGCTTTCAATTTAGCTGCTTGCTGCAAACAGTTTCGGTTTACCCTCTGGCAAAACCGAATCTGTTTATGCTAAAGTCTAAAGAGTCCTAACCTGGCCCACACTCCAGTCCTTGTTTAGGTGTTGGAGGCTGTTGCTGCTGCTGCTGCTGCTGCTGACAAACACACACCGAGCCACACACTGAGAGAACCGCATTGGNTTCAATTTAGCTGCTTGCTGCAAACAGTTTCGGTTTACCCTCTGGCAAAACCGAATCTGTTTATGCTAAAGTCTAAAGAGTCCTAATCTGGCCCACACTCCAGTCCTTGTTTAGGTGTTGGAGGCTGTTGCTGCTGCTGCTGCTGACAAACACACACCGAGCCACACACTGAGAGAACCGCAGTGATAGCTGTTATTTATACTGCCAACCTCGGTATTTATATCTAAAGGTTATGCGAGAATAGAAAATCGCTCGTGTGTGTCACCCAGCACTGCTGCTGCTCAGGCGCTGCTCCAGACAAAGTACACGTTGGAAAGTGTAGATAGGGTGTACCTTTACCACCAGGCTGCTGGTCACCGGTGCAAAGGTGGTGGCAGAAGACTTGACTTGACTTAAATGAATGAAGGTGAAGAGAACTTTGATACTCTGGCGGCGAAGGTGGTGTCACTTTCTGTCGTCTGCTGTCGCCTGCTGCTGCTGATGTTGGCAGAAGAAAGCTCACTTTGCTAGAGCCGCGCATACTTTGCATACCGCGCGCCTCTATTCATATTTGTTTCTTGTTGCCACACAGCGCCGAGTCATTCTTTCCTTCTTTTCTTCCTTCCTTTTCTTCCTTTCTTCCTCTATCTCTCTTTCTCTGCTCTACTAATTAGTCTCTTATTATACTCGCCTCTGATCATATTCAGTTACACTCCTTGTCTCTGCTCGAAGCAGCAGCAGCAGCAGAAGTCGGTGCCTGCTAGTGCTTCCTCGTTGCTGATGCACTGTCTCACTGCTGCCAACACTTTCCATATCGAGCTCCTTCATCTCACTAACTTTCACTCTCACTTTTCTTCTCTCGTCACTAACCTCGATCTGGTAGCCAGCAGCAGCGGCAGACGTAGGAAATGTGAGATGAGCTTGATTTAAACGATGCATCGAGCAGCAGCAGCAGTTCCGTTAGCCTGTTTGTGCTGTACAATGCATCATTTGCGGTTTCAGGCATTGTCTCCTTGGTCTGCTGCTGCTGACCTTTACCAGTTTTGGCTGGGTAGTGTCACCGCCAGACTCGTCGTCCTTTGTCTGTCAGAGGGCACATCGATTGTGCTGTTGGCGGCATGGGAAAAAACTGCCATGTCAGTGCTTTTGCAGCAATAGTTGCCATTGGCAATGACGGCAGCAGCAGTGAGTGAGCCTGATCACCCGCGCTGATGAATATGTGTAATGGCGCAGGGGCAGCATAGCAGTTCGATCTGTTCGATTGATCCGAAACATGTTCCCGGATATGTGGGGCGGTTGCACTCGCGCCCCAGTCGTTGTTCGGGACACTCACTGCCAGAAATGATGCAAATTCTGCTGCTGTATTTTTTTCTATTCCTTCCTTCTTCCTTTACTTGGCCACTTTGATGTCTTGCCGACATGGCGAGAACATCGTTCTTTCATCGTCGTCATTGCTGTAGTCGTCGTTTCAACGTTGTTCGCTGCTGATGCTGCTGCTTATGAATATGTCGCCTTCGCTTATGGTTGTGATGACATAAATTAGCAGTTGACTCTGCTGCTGCTGCCGCTGCTTCAGTTCACTTGCAGGACGGGGCAATGGGGCAGAATTTGCTGCTGATGATGATGATGGTGGGCACGGTAGGCACTGTCTGTGGGTGATGTGCTGTGTTCTGTGTTGTTGAAATGTTATGTGTAGGCANGGCACTCTTTCTCTCTGTCTGTCTGTGGGTGATGTGCTGTGTTCCTCTGTTATGTGTTGTTGAAATGTTATGTGTAGGCAAAAAAAATTTAGGCAATAAATGTTTGGACAGCATCCAAACATGACGCAAAAACGTCGGCGGATTCTGCTGCTGCAGCTGCTGTTTCTGTTTTGTATCATAGGCTGTGGTGTGCAGTGCAGTGAGAGCTACTCTCACTCCTGTTCTTTTTCTCAAAATTAAAATCGATCAAGNCAAAAAAATTAAGGCAATAAATGTTTGGACAGCATCCAAACATGACGCAGAAACGTTGGCGGATTCTGTATCTGCAGCAGCTGCTGCTGTTTCTGTTTTGTATCACAGGCGGTGCACTGCAGTGAGCGCTACTCTCACTCGTGTTCTTTTTCTACAAAAATTGAAATCGATCAAGTGTCAGAATTGATGTTGGAAGTAGGAAGGGATGACTGAAAGCACTAACACATCCGCTTTCTCTGCAGATACTACGAGCGAACTGTGATATTCTGTTCGGCATTCGTCGAAATAATTCCACTGTCCTTCATTTTGGGCTTCTACGTTTCCTTCACTGCACACCGCTGGTGGCAACAGTACACGGCCATTCCCTGGCCGGACAAGTAAGTGCAGGACTTCAGTTTGTTTTCTTTTAATTGTTCTCTCAATCAATTTCCCCACAAATAGACTGATGAACATCATCGCCCTGTACGTGCCCGGCAACGATGTGACCAGTCGCGTCCTGCGGCGCACCCTGATGCGCTACCTGAACCTGACGCTGGTTCTGGTGCTGCGTTCCATTTCAATTCCCGTCAAGCGGCGCTTCCCCACGAAGGAGCACCTCGTTGAGGCCGGTTTTATGTCTCGCCCGGAGCTGGAGATGTACTCCTCGGTGCCCTCGCACGAGTTCAACACCTTCTGGATTCCCTGCACCTGGTTCGTCAATCTGCTGCGAGAGGCGAAGTCAGAGTGTCGCATCACCGACTCGGGCGGCATCAAGCTCATCATGGAGGTAAAGAATAAGCTGTTTTAGTATCATCATTGTTTGTCTAACTTTTCCCAAACGCAGGAGTTCAATGAGTTTCGAAGCAAGTGCGGCCTACTGTGGAGCTACGACTGGGTCAGCATTCCATTGGTGTACACGCAGGTCTGCGTCATGTTTTGCTTGCCTTCACGAAACATCTTTTATAACATCTTTTCTCTCCCTGTGCACAGGTCGTCACCTTATCAACGCAGGCCTTCTTCCTCGCCTCCCTGCTCGGTCGACAGCACATCAACCCGCCGAAGAGTGCCGGTATCAAGGCGCACGACTACGGCGAGTACTACATTCCAGTGTTCACACTGCTCCAGTTTATTCTCTACATGGGCCTGCTCAAGGTAACATGCTATGATGTGCAACAACAAGTGCTAATCTCTTTTGTCTCGTTTTCAGCTCGGCGAGCAGCTGATCAACCCCTTTGGCGACGACGACGAGGACTTTGAGCTGAACTGGATCATTGACCGCCACCTGAAGGTGTCCTTTCTCGGCGTGGACATTCTCAACTCTGACCCGCCGCCGCTGATCAAGGACAACTACTTCGACGAGATGGACATCAAGCTGCCGTACACGGAGGCGGCGGTGGCGCACAAGGTGAAGACCTACCGAGGCTCAGTGGCCGCCTTTCAGTAAGTCGTGTTTTGTTTAATTGTTGAGTTTTTACTAATCTAACATTTTTTCCTCCATAGTGTGCCCACTAGCAAGCACGGTCTAGTGATACCGGAGTTTGACGACGACGAGAACGGCGAGGACGACGAGGCCGTTTCCACCATTCAGAGTAATCGCGACGCGAACACGCACACCTCCAGCTGGAGTCTCTTTCGGGGGAAGCGGAAGCTGAGCAGCAGCATTGACTCCTTCAACTCGGAGACGATGGTCGAGCGGGGACTGGAGGAGACGGAGATGCCCACGCTCAAGGCCAACTCCTCATGGCACAACTTTCTCGCCTCGGAGGGAAATGAAAATGGCGGCGGCACCAGCGGCACCGGCAAAGCATCAGCCCCAGCATCAGCAGCAGCCCCATCAGGCAGTGTCGCTGAAGACACGCAAGGTATCAGGGGGTAAGATTTTCACCCCGAGATAAGTCAGCCCGCGCGCCCGCGTCCACTTTCACTCGAGGGAGTAACTCTGTATCGCAGTCATTGCTTTGCACACACACACTGAAAGAGATGGGCATTTGCAAACATTTCTAACTCTTTTCACCTTTTTTGACATAGATCCGACCAAGCCGGCGGCAGTGGGGGCCAGCAACGCCAGTACGACCAACACGGCCACCTTCAGCCTGAGGACGTTCCGCTGCCTCCGAGCGTCAAAGACCGCTGGAAGCACGCCGGAAGGATGGAGGCGCCGCACGGCGGCGGAGGGGGCAGCGGCAAATCAGCCCTCAAAGCCGCGAACCTCGGCGAGATCAAGCAGTCCAGCTTCGAGTCCACGGACTCCTCCAACCAGAGCAGCCACGTCATCATTCCAATGGAGGAGGACGGTGATTCCGGCCAACCTCCGCAGCTCCTTCAGCAGCAGCGACCTGCTGCAGGCCCTACTGCACGCTTCTTCCACTTTCGCAAGTCTCCTCTGCAAGTGTTTGCCAAGGATCGGGACAAGGACAGCCGAGACCGGGACAACGTCTCCCTCGTCAATGCACCGGTAAGCACACTGTTAGCTCACTCTGCCTGCACGCCCTTGCCCACCTTCTCTGCTTCTTTTGCCCTCCCTCTCAACCAGTAACTACCACTAGTCTGACCCCTGTCAACAACACTAGGTGAGCAGCACTTCCGGCGGCGCTGCCTTCAGGACGCTGGGCCCGGCTGAAGCGACTGCTCTCCTGTCGCAGCACCGAAACAGCGGCGGCGATCGCAGCTCGCTGAGCTCGGTGTCGCTGAAGAGCGAAGTTCCAGTGACCAGGTCGACCTCCTCCTCCTCCTCCTCAAAGCCGCCCAAGTCGCTGATGAAGTGCCACCGGACGGTGGACCCGAAGCTGCGCATCAGGCCCTTTCGCTCGAAGGTGACCTTCAGCGAGGACACCAAGGCGGGCGACAATAC